TGTCTAGCTGTTAGTTTCTGCACCAATGACAACCAAACAAGGCCCTGATCTGTGAGTATAACAGAATTATAATTGGGAATGATTGTTTCACAATGTTAGTAATACTATACTTCATCAGATTTATAAAGTACCTAAAAGTGAAAGCTACTCATAGCTAAAACACAGCAATAAAAATGATACAAAATACAAAACCATGGTGTGGTCCAACTGTGGAGTCCTAAGCCAAAGACACAATTGTGAGGGCCCCAAAAGAAGCACTCCCACAAAAGTCAAACAGAACAAGATTTTGTGAAAACTAAGCTAGGTACTCTAAACAGGATGACAGTTTGGGGAGTTGAGGAAATTAACAGTCTTGTGTTGGTATTTATGAGCTTTTCAAATAAGTATCAAGAGAAACAAGAGTGAGGGTGGCAAGAAGTATGTATATTGAAACCTCAGGATTGGTCATGCTGATCTTATTAGGAGAAAAGAAAGTTGATGCAGTTGATGTACTGGCTTCAATTCATCACAAGATTCTTGTAGGCTAAACCATTTGTTCCTGGAATCCAAGGTGACTGCAGAGGAGAATGACTCACATGGAAAGAGACAGTGATGCCAAACTCATTTTTTTTTGTTATTCCTCAGATATCTGCAGATGCTTTTGGCAGGAGTATCTTCTAAGTTTTCATTATAGTTCTTTAATTTTTAAGCCTTTATATTTACTTCATGTGTATGGGTGTTTTGGAAGCATATCTGTCTACGTACCACTTGCATGTAGTGTTCCTAGAAGCCAGAAAAGGGTGTTAGATCTGACAGATGATTGTGAGCTGCCATATAGGTGCTGGGAACCAAACCCAGGTCCTCTAGGAGAACATCCTGTGCTCTTAATTGCTGAGCCATCTCTCCAGCCCCCTTGTTATTGTTTTTTAAAATAATGATGACACAAATATTGGTAGCTCCATGCAGCAAATGGCTTACAGAAACAGCTGCTGGTCTCCAAAGCTTTATGTTTTAAACTTGTTTGCATGCCTAGGTTGTTCAGATGGCTCATTTGCTCAAAACTAGTTTTGGGGAAAAAAAACCCCAAAACAACAGAATTACATCAAAGAAGACCTAATGGCCAGACATGCTTCTGTCGAGCTGGTAAATGTTTCTTATTAGTAAGCCTCTGGGGAGTTATATTAAGAGTAGTGATGGATGTTTACAAGTTGAAAACCATTCCAACTCATTAGATAACTTGTTTTATCTGTTTTCTGAAAAAAACACACAAGATATTGGATTTTAATTTTTATTATGCATATTAATCACCCAGGAAGCTTGTTAAATGCACGTTGCCTCTCCCTGCAGAAGAAAGTCTCCTGGTGGTGGACAGTCAGGAATTCATACTTTTGTACATTTTCCAGTGGACTTTGTTGAATGGAGCTTTGGTCTACCCTCTTCTAAGAACAGGGTGGATAACTTAAAATGTTTCTAAATACAGGGCTTCAACCCACATAAACACTGTATTCTGAAAGAGCATTTTGAGGCAATAATTGTATTTTATAGAAAGTTTACTAAAAATACATCTATGTTTTAAAGTTAAAAAAAAACACTTTTGCATACACTTTCCGTTTCCATATTGTCTAAAGTTAGTATACTATTTTTCAAAAAGTAAATTATGTGGAATAACAAGCCCAAAGTAGCACTCTTAGTCAGTAAGTGCCTCTAAAGCTATGGTTCTCAACCTCACTGGGGTCAGCTAAGACATTAGAAAACACAGATATTTACATTGCTATCCATAACCGTAGCAAAAACAGTTACAAAGTAGCAATGAAAATAATGTATGGTTGGGGGTCAGCACAACATGAGGAATTGTATTAAAAGGTAACAGCAATAGGGAGGTTGAGAACCACTGCTCTAAAGTCACTTTGTAGCCTTATTTTAAAACCCAGGTAATATTTGTGTTTAATAATATTTCCTCAGAGAAATGGATTAACTTGTACAAAGACAGTCTGTGTGCTAGATGGGGTTTATAAATAACAGTTTGTACACGGTTGGCAGATTTGGAAAACCTGCAGCTCTTGTGGTGTTGCAACCAACCATCAGTTGAGAAAAGAAATGAAAACAACTGCTGGCAGATGTAGCTCAGTAGCAGAATTCTTTCCTAAATGCATAATACCTGAAGATTTATCTCCACTACTGTAAAAACCAAGCTTGGTGGTGTAATCCTAAAATACTAGCATTTGGGGGTTCCAAGCATGAGAACCTGGGGTTGATGATTGTCATCACCCACATAAAGAATTTGTGGGTATATTTTGTTTATGGTCTAATAAAGCTTGCCTGAAGATCAGAGTGCAAAGCTATCCTGAGCCATAGAGGCCAGTCAGTGGTGGCACACACCTTTAATCCCAGCACTCAGGAGACACAGGCAGGTGGATCTCTGTGAGTTCAAGGCCACCCTGGGCTACTTGAGAGTGACTAAGTCTAAAAGAGAAACAGAGCTCACACCACTAATCCCAGCACTAGGGAGGTGGAGACAGAAGTGATATGGCTCGGTGGAGAGAGGAATATAAGACAAGAGGAGACAGGTTGGCATTGCAGTCTCAGGGAGTCTGAGCAGCAATGCAGTTGGGAGCAGTCTGAGGTTTGATAGATTGCCCCTTCAGTCTGAGCATTGGTAGACATAAGAACTCTCTAGTGGCTGGCTGATTTGCTTATCTGATCTTCAGCTTGAACCCCAATATCTGTCTCTGGGTTTTTATTATCCATCCTACAAGAATTCAAGGCTAGCCTGAGCTATGATGTCCTTTTTCAAAACAAACAACCATAGAATGATTTTTAAAAGCTTATATGGTTTTAAAACTCTTCCCTTTCTATGCAGCTGACAGCTGCTTATCCCTCATTTAAGTCTGTGGACAAAGGTCACAGGGACACTTCATCCCAAATACAGTCCATGCTTTATCTTATATATTTTTCCTTTACTGGTACTTTTAACGATAAAAGTACCAGCCTTTTTTTTTTTTTTGACAAGCATCAATGCATATTCTAGAACTGTTTTTGTTGTTTGGATGTGGTAGGCACATTAGGACTGTCTGAAAGATAAAACTACTAGGACATCTGTTGTAACGGTGCCATTTAAGACTACGGAGTCAACTGAACGTTGGTATAAGCAGGACATCAAACTGCAGCTTAACTGATAGATCATAGACTTTGCGCACTAAAGTATTATGCCTAATCTGATATGCTGGAGACACAGTGGCCTTGAGAGGACTGTAGAGGAGGATGCGTGGAAAAGAGTAGAGCCATATGTGTAAGGCCTTAATAACAAAAGTTTTCAAATTTAATTAGAAACAAATACAGATTTCAAATCTAGAGTTAAAATAAGGATGCAGTTCCAAAATCAATTACCAATCACAGATAACCACAGCATATCATCATTTAGTGTATGGAAAGTTGTAGCGATACTTAGCCTTACAACAACTGACTGAACAGCACTGTGTATTTATTTGTACATGAAATGAAAAAGTAAAATGAAAAAGTGTCTGGAATCCTCCTGTAAAACTGAACAGTTGGACTATAATGCCAAAACCAAGGGTGCATGGAAGATGTGCATGAGGACCAGGTCAAAGCTGTGGAAATGACAGTTGTTCAATGTCATATGACAGATGTGCTCAGACTACATAGGGAGGCCTTTTATTTGGACTGATTATCTAAGGCAGGCACAGTAATGGTTAGGTATTTTGTGATATCCCGATGAGCTGATTGAATTAAACAGAGGGGATGGAGGTATTTTCTTGAGACACAGCTCAGCCCTTCTCAGTGGCAGTCATGCTTGAAGAGCAGCCGTCAGGGAACAGATTGGGTATTGGAAATACTCCCATTATTTCCAACTAAGAGACTCCTTCTGCTTGACTACAGTTTCCTTCTCTTGGTGATTCTTCTGTTTATTAGAGGAATAGCTTGCTCAATCATCAAGTATAGCTTTTGAGACATTACAAGAGAACCTTCATTCCAACATCCACATTCTAAATATTGAGATCTGTAGTATTAAGAATGGCATGACCCTGGTCTAAGGAAAGGGTTTCAACAGTTTGTTTCCTTCTTTTAGGAATTTGATGATTTAAATGCATGGAAGCTGTGGCTGAATTTGCCAGGTTATTGTCTGAACCTATCACTTTATATCAACTGACTTAGAATAAAGGGATGTATCCCTCCTGAGCTGGTATTCCTGAATTGTAAAATAGGGATAATGGTAGTGTCAACATGTAGATCAATGTGAATAAGTTCAACCATGTGTGGCCCTAGCCAGAACTATGTAGCTAGGAGTTCTTAGGATTAATCTTTATTTGTGGGTGCATATATTTTCATATATCATTGACTAAACAAGTAGAATCATTAATTTTGAAAAACTATCTTTATAACATATCACTCGCCATTTTCAAGTTCTTTTAAGAAGATATGTATATTTTAATTGTCTCCATAACTCAGTTTCTCTTCATTACTTCTTGCTGGCTGAGTTTGCCCTCCTCTCAGATTTACTTAGTTTGGAAGTCTCTACCTTCAGGGTGCCATTGTACTCTGCAAGTATTCTTTCATGTTCACATTACATGATATCCAAAACATTTATAGAAATTGGCAGCTACATTTGTGTGGCTACTGGATTTCCCCTAGTGTAATCTGCTTTATATGTGCAGTTATAAACTGTGTTTTAAATTTTTTAGGTCATAAGCAATTGTCAAGATTGGAGCTACTGTCATAATTTTGTTTTCCTTTTCTAGACTGTTGTCATTGAAATTTGTTCTGAGATAATTTTTGTGGTTTCTTCACAGTTTTGCCCCTTTCACTCAACGTAGAGCAAAACTTTGTCTATATGTGAGCAAAGACACAGGTCCAGCCTGGTTAGCTTTTGAGAATCATCGCAAGTGACATCCCGGAATACCCTGTTATCCCTTTTGGTGGACAGTGATCAGTGCCTTTTGGATTCAGATATATGTCTATGATGGTTCAGGTCACTCTCTATTTCTGTTTCTTTCTTTCTGCAGTTTATTGCTTTTGCTTCTTTATTCTTCATCTTGGTTTCCATCACAACCTTTTGCCTGGAGACACATGAAGCTTTCAATATTGTTAAAAACAAGACAGAGCCAGTCATCAATGGCACAAGTGCTGTTCTCCAGTATGAAATCGAAACGGATCCTGCCTTGACGTATGTAGAAGGAGTGTGTGTGGTGTGGTTTACTTTTGAATTTTTAGTCCGTATCATTTTTTCACCCAATAAACTTGAGTTCGTCAAAAATCTCTTGAACATCATTGACTTTGTGGCCATCCTCCCCTTCTACTTGGAGGTAGGACTCAGCGGTCTCTCCTCCAAAGCTGCTAAGGACGTGCTTGGCTTCCTCAGGGTGGTTAGGTTTGTGAGGATCCTGAGAATCTTCAAGCTCACTCGCCATTTTGTAGGTCTGAGGGTGCTTGGACATACTCTTCGTGCAAGTACCAATGAATTTTTGCTTCTGATCATCTTCCTGGCTCTAGGAGTTTTGATATTTGCTACAATGATCTACTATGCTGAAAGAGTGGGAGCTCAGCCTAATGACCCTTCAGCTAGTGAGCACACACAGTTCATAAACATCCCCATTGGTTTTTGGTGGGCTGTGGTGACCATGACTACCTTAGGCTACGGGGACATGTACCCGCAAACATGGTCAGGGATGTTGGTGGGGGCCTTGTGTGCTCTTGCTGGAGTGCTGACAATAGCCATGCCCGTGCCTGTCATTGTCAACAATTTTGGAATGTACTACTCCTTGGCAATGGCGAAGCAGAAACTTCCAAGAAAAAGAAAGAAACACATCCCTCCTGCCCCTTTGGCAAGCTCACCTACGTTTTGCAAGACAGAGTTAAATATGGCTTGCAACAGTACCCAGAGTGACACATGTCTGGGCAAAGAAAACAGGCTTCTGGAACATAACAGATCAGGTAAGGCACGATTTCAAACATGTACCATGGAAGATGTTATAGACCATTGTATCCTATAGGTAGAAGTAAGTTGTGCTTACTTGCAGTTTTACCTGCTCAGAATATGTGTGTTTGTGTGAGACTTGCTGATAAAGAGACTGTAGCATCTCTGCATGTAGATCTGCATAGCAGGTCGGTGGGGTTTTCTAAAATTGGTGGGAATGACCTCTGCTGATGGTGCCAATATTTTCTTTTGCCTATTTGTTGCTTCTGTGCCAATGTTTCTTTGTTTCTCTGCATGATGTGATGGTATGGTCTTAACCATTTTCCACTCTTCATTCTCAAAATGTTCACCTCCATATCATTTGGCTTGGTGTGTTTGTCTCAGTTTTACCTCTGCCACATGGTACTCTGCATCTCAACCTAATTCATGAGAAACAGCTACTTAAGGGGAATGGATGCCTGCACATCAAAGGCCTAGACACTCAAGAGGTGATATGGAAGACAGATATTTTAATAAGAAAGCTCATTATTAGTAATATTCTAGATTGACTTAAATTTCCATTGTTTTAAAATTAGGCAGTATAATGCAACTGAATACTTTTAAAGATACAAAGTTATATATAATGCAAATAAAGTAAACACCTACTATTTTTCATAGCACAGACAATCTGTCATGGTAACCAATGACAAATTCCATCTCTTTCTCCAATCATTTCTAATTGCATTGTGCCTTGGTCTTTGTTCTCTTGTAGAACTGAATTTTGAATATTTTACTGCTTGGCATTTGCTGGAATCCTGCTCTCTGTATGCTATACATAACCTACAGTTGATTGATTGTAACTTGAGAGTCAGTCTGTCCAAGCCAAGGCAGAGGGAGTTCTTGCTTGTCTATTATGTCCTAGTAACAAATAATATTTTTCAGATTAACAACTTAAATAGCTTCCTTTGAAATTTAAAGTAAATATACAGCACTCTTTTAGATAGACTTTAACTATTTCTTATATGAAAAAAAAATGGACTTGTGATGATCTCATGTCTCATTTAGAAATAAGGACCATCTTGACTTCTGAAAATTTTTATTAGGTAAACAGAAAACTCAAAGATGTGTGACCAGAGATGAACTGCTGTTCAAAATTTTCATTGGCAGTCCTTATATGCATTTTGGAATTCATCTACAAATACCATCATCACATACCTTACAACTATTAAGAATATCTACCTGAAAGGGAAAACTTAGCTAAGGTTATTATTCATTACATTGCTCTCAGTGTATTTACGCAGAAGCCTTAAGAAAGGCACAGGCAAAGAGGACACATCTTAATCTCTGCTTAGCATTGTAATGTTAAGCTAGTGTACAGGCAGATACAGATGTATAGAAAGCCCTTGGCAAGCATGCAGAAGTATACATCACTTTCATGGACATGGGAGATGTTCATGTACGATTTGCTTAAGATGATTTTGTGTCTTCAAAGTGGGATGATAGTTCTTGTGCTTTGGGATGATTTTAATTAAGATTTTTTGGGGGGATTTAATTTCAGAAAGGTAGGGAAAGCATGAAGAACTGCAAGACCAGTACTTCTTGAGAGGTTTTCCTTAAAGATACTATACTCTTAGCCATCTCCATTCATAGTATCTGAATAACATGTAAAAAGTTATATGGTAAATTTGTATTAATTCATTACTGCATTTATTTTGAGTTCATACCACCTGTGTGAAAGCTAATTATCCATAAGATTGATTCAGGGAACACTTCTCCCCTTTTTGATACATTTCCATTTTACTCCGTGTATTTTTTTTCTTTATTGTGGCGAATACTGTGATGTGATTACTGTGTTTTGTATATTGAGTGACTGGCCTACAGGTATCTGTTGTAAACTCTCTGTACTGTCTCATTTCCTCATCCATCACTGTCTGTCAATGGGCATGGTGCTGTGACCAGTGTTATCAGGTGACGACAGTACAGGAAGTGAGCCGCCATTATCACCTCCAGAAAGACTCCCCATCAGACGCTCTAGTACCAGAGACAAAAACAGAAGAGGGGAAACGTGTTTCCTATTGACGACAGGTGATTACACGTGCACTTCTGATGGAGGGATCAGGAAAGGTAGGCATGCATTTAATCAAATCATAGTAGGTAACTTTGCCAATAAGTAACAGTGATGTAAATACTCATTCGTCATTTTCTGGGGAACGCTGCATGTAGTATTATTCTTTTAGTCTTTCATTCACATCTTTCATCATTAAGCACTTTATAATACCCATTATGACAGACTACTTAATTGCTACATGTAAAAGGCATCCCCCTTTATTCTTTATACTTTCATCATCCTTACATTTACCATTTGTCTATGGGTAGATTTTTAACAGAACAGGTAAACATCATTAAGTCAGTCATTAATTATTTTAGCACAATGCTTTTAGCAGTCTTTAAAAGTTATCTTTTGTTTTAAAACAATACTCACGAAATGGCTCTGTAACTATATTTGTTAAGCAATTGATGGCCATTAAACAATTCATCAGGCATATTCATTTTCAAATGGAAGAACTACATACCCTTTAAATATCTTTCCTAATAACTACCCAGGTAGCTAATACCAGTAGCTTCCTTGATTGTCTCTATGAGCAAGATCCTCTGCTCTGCCATGTGCATTTTTTTAAAATCACTTGAAAGGTTACTTGTGTGATTAAAAATACACACGTTTTACTGTAGGCCCAATAAAATAATTTTAAATCCATTAATATTTTTCAGTAGATACTAAACAGTACTTAACATGTAGGAGATGATAAATACTTGTTGATGAAATTAAAATGTTGAGCAAGTGTCTGTTAAAAAACAGGTAAACATCTGTAATGATTTATTAGCCTCATTGGCTAAATCTGAACAGAAACTTCCATATTTTGTTACACTGTAACACTGTATTCTGTAACTGATGTCCATATTTGTCATGCAAAGTTATTTTTCTAATTCTTCAATGTTTTAAACTTATAATGTGTATTTTGTGATGTCTTCCTTAAAAAGTACCTCATAACTCATACTTTCATTTCATTTACATTTTATTTCTTCTGGGCTTCGATGTTTTGGAACACTGAAAACAAAGATAGAGGACTCTTCACTGTATTTTCATTTTTTTTGCTGAGTAATGTTTCAAATAATTCTTCATCCCAATCATTTCCATCATTTCCATGTGTTCATTGAGCAAAAATATGTTGCAGACCTCTGAATGGTTTTATTATTTTACATTTATATATGTGCTAGAACGTTTAAATGTTTTATGAGAATAGCTAAAATCTCATAGTATTTGAGCAAAATATATGTGCATACATTAGATAGTAATATCTTGTGTTGAAAAACACTTTTCTAAGGGCAAATATAACTTGACAAGCTTTATCTTTGTATACATGCATGTACATATTGTGTAAACACATCTATATGCATGAGATTAAACATATATTCATTTTTATACAACTTTCATTAAAGTATTATATGCATGCTTATACAAAGCTAATGTGTTTGAAGATCTTGATACAAATTTTCTTCCATGTGAAATAATATTTTCTAGTTCTGTTAAGAAATGCCCAAGAAAAGCTTTGGACCTATAAGATAGTATGTTAATATAAAATTTTATGAACAAAGTGATTAATAAAATATTTATTTTGCATGGAAACACATATGCAGTTTTATTTCAAAAGTGAAAATTTTATTTTTCAATGAGGATTTTTTTTTGTAGACCAGTTAGCCCACATGAGCTTGTGTTTCATCATTTCTTACCATACCAACTCCTTGTTCATTTCTTTCATAGCCATATGTTTTTTCTACGTGGGCATTGTTTCTGCAAACAATCATGTTGACTTTTGTCTTTTATTGTCACACCTACCAGAAAGCCATCCATTGACCTTCCTCTTTCCTTTACATAGCATATAGAGTTCTTTTATTCTACCCAAATATTTACTTCCCATCGGATCTACTCACTTTTCCAGATGATTTTTCTATTAATTTTATTTCAAAGTTCAAAAACTTCTCCCTTTATAAAATTTTAAAAAGTTAACACTGATATATAAACACACACAAACACACACACACACACACACACACACACACACACACACACACACACACACACACACGCATCTGTGTTGACATTACCCCAACTGAACACATGCTTCTAGGAGTTGAATAAAATGCAAGTTCTATATTTTGATGTTGGTTCTAAGTAGGTTTACTATTGTTTATTTTAATGAGTAACTTAGATTTTATTCTTGTCATTATCAATATTTTCAGCCACTCCAGGAAAAGCTTAATTAAGCAGAAAATGTATCAGACTTTCTAATCAGAAATATTTAGAGTAGGTAAAACTAAAGATATATAAAGAACATCTAATTTTACTAATTAAACACTTGTTGCTTTTTCAAATGATATTAAATTACTGATATTAAAAATAAAAGGATCTGTAAACAAACTAAGAAATATTTACTTTGAAATATATAATTTAGAAGAACAATTAACATTTAGAATAGCAATTAAGATTCATCTATCAATGGGTGATTAAAATAATGTTATCTAACAGATCATTACATTCCTGAGAGTTGTATAAAGGGCTTGGGATATAAAGTACCCTTTTTGATGCATTTACACCAGTAATTTAACATTCATCAATGTTTCTAATCTAGTTTATATTTTTAGGTCACATAATCAACTTCTACTGCATAGGAAAAATCAGTTTCTCTGTAATTTTCAAAGTTATAATATCAGTCACTTTAGAGAAGAGCAGTAATAATGAAATTACCATGCACATGGTTTCTCTGTGAGGATAAATTACTTTCAATTAAAAAATGAAGGCATACTTTCATTAACTATCACATCATCAGGCAGCATGGAATGAAAACACACCCTCTTCAGTGTTTTGTTAAAAAGGATGCTAAAAAACAGGTAAATGTGTATTCAACAGAAAATATATTCCCCAAACCACTATTATAATTAATGGGTGGTGAAATGTCTATTTACAAAACCATTTAGAAGACATCAGTCTACTGGAAATCAATGTGCATGCATGTGGGTAGGGGGTGCTCATTACTCTCCTGTCCTGTTTATCCAGTGTTAGTCTGTTATAAGGCTGTTATGGAGTCTGTCTTGATGCATATTTGTCTTGGCCTCTCCTATGTCAGATTAATAGATGAATTACTTCATTCCCAATTAAAAGCAGTAGAGGCAGTTACAAAGGACTCTTTCTTTTCTCTTCATCTCACATTCAGCAAGCACACTAGAGCCCATGGAGAGCACTACCCAGTCTAGAGGAGACACAAGACAAGAAGCTCACTGGGATTGTGTGCATTTACTCAATTTTGGTTGCCCTACAGGAAGTTCATTTCCAGCCCTGTAACTGTTCAGTGGAACTGCCAAATGTTTCTTTCCAAAGCTGTGTGATAGGACTCCGTTTTCATTCAAATGTCTTGCTTTCAATTTCACATCACACTTTATATGAGATGCACCCCAAACTCATTCAACTGCCTCTAATACTCTACTGAAAATGCTACAACATGTGAATCCCTCCAAAGATCACAGGATGGGGTAACTGGCCTAATGGTTAAGAAAAAAAACAACCAAGCTAATATTCTTACAAAGCTGTTTTATTATTTAAGTACAAGGATATAACTAACAATAGATTAGTTGGAAAAATTTGGACTAAGATAAACTTTGCCTCAATTTCTAGAGCGTAAGGGAAAGAGATGAAGTGATCTGAGAACATCAAATTCAGATTTATTTCACTGAAATTATGACTCAGTTTACATTTCATTTGCTTCTTTTTTATTTAATTTTACTTTATTACCTAAGGGATTGGTAATATGATTTCCATCCTGAATCAGCTGGATAATGGCACCGTATGCCATTATTATATGAATCACCCTTTTAAACTTGTAAAACTCAAAGAATACATATGCTGGAAACAAACGTACACTTCAAGTTAAGCATGCTTCAATTGCTACTAATACTAAAATTCAAAATGAAAAATCGCTTATGTATTTTTAATTTTCAGAAACCCATCCTGAACTTTAAAAGTGTTGAGTCTGTAATCTTCTTTAAGTTGCTGTGCCTAAGTTTTAAACATTCTTGTAGTCTTTATGCCCAAATTACTTCAATGCTAACTATAATCTGGACACAAACATATTTTGGAATATTGTAGCTCTAACTTGTGATAGCTGATCTAATAGTTTCAGAATGCCAAATACAGTGAATTTCAGTTTTCAGGTGTATGGACTGTCTCAATATTGAATCCTCTGCAAATGTTTTGAACACAAAAATAGCACTTTTAATTACCCTGCATGGTATTGTTTGTCTCTGTCTATTTTCTGGTTGAATTCAACTGATGTCTGTGCATTTTTTCATAAAAGGATATGAAAAATCCCGAAGCTTAAACAACATAGCGGGCTTGGCAGGCAATGCTCTGAGGCTCTCTCCAGTAACATCACCCTACAACTCTCCTTGTCCTCTGAGGCGCTCTCGGTCTCCCATTCCATCTATCTTGTAAACCAAACTGCATCAATCGGCTAAATTATATCACTACAAGTACTGTTTACCCTGTAATGGGAATAATTAAATGTAGAGTTTCTCCAGGCTCCATTAATACAGTCTAAATCCTGCATGGTATTGCTATTGGAAGTCAGAAATGCTACTTGAGTAGCTAAAACATCTTATTCTGGCTTTGAAGATGATCTGAAGTAGTGCTACTACTCAGTATGAATTACCCCCAATTTCCTTTTGCAATACAGTGACCAATAGTGTCAGATATTGGCCAGTACACTAATGCATAATCATATCTTCAGGGAGATAATACTTAAATAGTGTGCTTCTAAATGCCAACCACTTCACTGGATCTTCATTTCTTGTGACTCCAAACCGTTCTGAAGATATCTGGGATCCTATCTAGATTGCACACAACATGACTTTGGTCAGTTCATTTGCATGGACCATCTTGTCTGTATCACCTGAATACAATGTTGTAGAGTCCTGGGACTGGATGGCTCAAGATATGTGTTCTTGCTTCAAACCATCCTGCCAATGTGAAAGCACAGGTCGCCTGTTCTGCATGTTGAATTGTGGGGCAGGGAGGGTGCCCTTCTCCTGGTATTTCCCCCCTATTTTTGATAGAAATATTTGTTTTAAATAGCTTAATTTCTTGATTGATTTATTTGTCTTGAAAAATGCTGTATTGGTGTTCTGAATGTTTTTGGTTGTTTGTACACACAGATAACTGCAAAGAGGTTGTCATTACTGGTTACACGCAAGCCGAGGCCAGATCTCTTACTTAATGACTTGAGGAAGGCACAAAACATGAGAGAAAGGTAACTGTTAGTCAGGCTTGCATTGTTTAGCCAGGAATTGCTGCTTGGTAATAGAGCCATTTCTCCCGCTATAAGTCCTACAATTTGTCATTATTTTTAGAGGTAGAGTGCTAAATATTACCCAAAGGTCTCGTGGGTTTTTATTTATGATTTTGTGTGAACATCAGAGGTTACTGGTGTTCACTGGAGGATTGCTTGTTTGTTTGTTTTGTTTTGGACTAGCCTTAAAATTTGCATCAAAGGACTAACCAGACTTTTCAGGCCGTGTTTAATCAGGTGCTTTGTCCTATGTGTTGTTTCTGTCTGTCTGTCTGTCTTAGCTCCCTGTCTTAATTGCATATGACATCTGTCTCCATAGAGGGTAGACTTGCCCTGATAGGCTCTTTAAACTTAGTACTGATCTCCCTACCTCCTGCCCCCTGTCTTCTTTGCTACTTGGAGCAGCCTCTCTGCTTTGTATATACATTAATGATGCTCTGTAGACTACCTAAATTACTAGGCACTGTGAATCTTTTTGGATGAGCAGGACTGAAGCAGCAATCTCATCAAAGTACTTGGTTGCCTACTGCAGTGTCGGTTTTTACTACCTAGCAACCAGCGTTCATCACTACATTCCAGCAAACATCCCTAGGGAGTCTTTTGCAGTCTGGAGGGAGGATAGTCTGTTTACACATCCCTACCAAATGCCATAGCAATAGTGTGTCTGATATTTTGGATATGTGAGGAAAGAAAAATGCCATAATATAATTGCAGTGTAGACAATACTACTTTTGATGCATTGATCCTTAAGATTGTTGATGAATTCTTAATCCTAGTGTTTATTTTTGATAGGAAGACAATTGTCACTTTTGCTACTGGCTAATGATGTGTGTTAGTCTTCATTCCCAAGCCATAGAGCATGAGCTGCATGTCAGAGGTCTTGTACAACAATGCATTTACCCAGACGTAGCTATCCGAGATTTAGAGATACTGTGATTCTTTTGATAACACCACTTATAGAATGCTATAACTACTCAGAGGTTTATGGTAAAGAATTAATATGCTGTCTGGTGCTGCTGTTATTGACTGCAGTGTTGTACAGAATTTATCATGGATTTTTGACTGCTGAAAAAGGGACAGTGAGATTTAGCCATACCAAGGATTGTACTGGAAACTTCTGCTACCGAATGTGCCCTGATGTGACCAGTTTATACTCAGAAGAGGTCCCACACCTTCGTGAGGCATTTAAAGCTTATAAAGGAACGGTGGCTGGAACTGAAATGGTGCTTGCCATGGAAATATTCTGCTTTTCGACTGACCAGCGTCCAGGAAACAACTGTAAATACCAACGTGTGCATGGGTCAGCCGCCCTGACAGTCTCATAGCACAGGAAGCCAAGTTTGTGATCAAAATCTATGAAGCTTCAAGTAATGCCCACGAGGCTCTGAACGGTTCCTCTCCAGCTCATGGTGGTTTTGCTGAGAATTACAGAAGGCAGTGAATCTGATGTAGTATAGGTTTGTTTTCATTTCTCTTATTTGTACATTACTTGTTGGATACACAAACACTGACTGCCTCATTTTCTTGCGAACCACTTATATATCAGCTTGTCAACTGTGTTGTAGACTTTTAGTGTCTCCATATAAAATCAAACTCATTTTTAGCCATGTATTCATTTAGTTCTGGAAAAGTGTTACTATCTAAAAGAAATTCACCAACAGTATTCATAGTTTAAGTCTTTTGTCATTGTTACCTCAATTATAAATATTAAAAATATAAATTCTGGCAATGAGAATATTTTTTTATTAAATGATCAAGGAAAATGTCAGTATATAGTAGAATATTATCAAATTATATCCTAAAATGTCTATTTTGCATAAAAGAGATATTCTTCAATCAATTCCTTTTTTGTGAGCTTTGTGGCTAATGAAGCGTGTATTTGTCTTTAACACTGCTGTAGCTGAAACTGTATAAGAGATCTTCATCTTGCTTAATCAATGTTTCCAGAAGCGATTAGTTCCCCTGGGATTCTGAATATACTATATAACCTAATTATGAACCCCTGTATCGTGTACCTTTTGTGACATCTCAAGGTGCATGCCTGACCTTGGTGATAAACCAATGGACATGTTACTAACTGAAATGAAGAATAAAAGGTAAATCAGCTGGGGATAAACTTGAATCCTATCTGATTAAATTATTCATATCACTCTCTGGACTTCTTTTTTTGTGTGTTTCTATTTCATCAGGCTTTTACGATTGTTCCGCTTCCTGGTTCCACCACACACACTCATACAGCCCAAAGAAGTTGGGAATGAAGGGCTTTTAAAATACCTAAAGCTCTCATTTTCATCCAGATCTTAGAAACATAGGTAATATTTTCCCGTTCTTTGTGTCTTCTTGCTTCCCCTGTCTACATTCCTCTTAAAAGAGTATAAAATCACTAATTACTGTGGTACTCAATATTTACAGGAAATTTTATGATCAATATGAAAATCTTAGCTATATTTCCAATTTGCCACAGTTCCGGGGGCAGATACTTCTGTTTTAAGTTTATTAACAGTCCAGATAAGGACCTGGAAGGCACAACTGTTCATTTACATTTTTTGTCACAATTGTCCCTGCAGGAGTTTCCTACATTTTAAATATTTACTGAACTTCTTGGTGTAAATTCTACTTTAAAACATGCCTTCTGTCTTTAGATCTGTTTCCTACACATGACGTACATAGCTGGCATTCCAGTTATAGAACAGGAATGTGCATAAATTTACCATCCACAAATCTGTCATGCCAGCCTATGGTAGGAGGTAAAAGGAAAGACAGAAAAACAACAACAACAACAACAAAACAAACAAACAAACAAACAAACAAAAACAACGAGGTAGAAAAGAATGTGGACAAATCCAAACTTTTTCTACAATGTATCAGCCTGTATTTTTCATCACCTAAGATGTTCAAGCTAATGGTTAAGGTAATTCTTAGAAGCTAAGCCTAGCAAAGGGGCATTTGCAAGTAGAATTACCTGTGAAAGTTTATTAACAAACGATGATATCAGGATGAAATTTTACTGTGAAAAAGAGTGCTATGTAAGAAAGAGAAGGCATACACTTATGTAGGTAGTAATTACCACCAATTCTTATTTTAAAACAGGAATATGCCATCATGACTCAAGAGTAAAGATGCTCATATTATTTTTAAAATAAATCACAAGTGGGGGACTGTGAGATGTGCCTGAGGGTAAAGGCCCTTGCCATCAGGCCTGGCAACCAGAATTTAAGCCCTGGACCTACACAACGGAAGAGGAACTGACTTGCTATGTGCCCACTGACCTCTACACATGCACTGTGGCACACATTAATATAAATAAAATATAAAAATAAATAATCAGTCAGACTAAAGGATAGCTTTCCAGTGATCTTTCCAGTTGTTGTGGGGGGGTTACAATCATCTTGAAAACATAATTAGAAGTAAATGAATCATTTTAAATATTGAATTCCCTATGAGTTAAATTTGATTAATATGTCCCTTGAAGTTTTCCTTACTGAAAAGAATGCCCCATTTTCTCCCAATTTTCATTGCCAAAATGAAAGTTTTAACATTTAAGTGTTATTAAATGGTAGATTTACATTAATAGTTTCTATTGTGGGTTCAGTGAGCTTAATATTGATATAAAATTCCACTCATTATTTATTAAACTACTTTTCCTTAGAACTATATTTCCATTGTTCTCTAAAACTAAATGGTTGAACCATTATGAAAACATTTAGTTTGTCATTACATTATCAAGTCAAAGTGGCTAATCACAGAATATGTGTTTTGAACATTGCCTTAATATGTCCGACGTATAGCGGCACCTCCATTCATATAACCTAGCATGCATTATTTTAAAAATAGAACTATTATTCTTCTACAGCAGAAGGTAGATGGAGGGTTCCTTACCTGCATGCACATGTGCTCCCCACCACCATGAACAGTTGCTCTCCTTCAGTTGGGGAGTCTGTGTCCACACAGTGGATATTATCACATAGAGTCCGTGGTTCAAACTAGAGTTCATCATAGGCATCGTGCTTCTGTGTAGTCTGAAAAAATAAACAGTGTCCTTTATGTTCCATTGTAGTACCACACAGAACCACTTCACAGCCTGAAGATCCTCTTCTCAGTAAGTTCAGTTTTGAGAGGAAGCATCTTTTGTTTACTAATATACACT